AGGAAAGCTTCGAATTGAGTGCGCCAGGTGATGTAATCTTCCACAGCTTTAAGCTAAATAGTAACAATTTGAGTAACGTTGTTGGCCGGTGAATTTGATTGAGAAACAGCTGCCATTGGGGATTGAAAAAGAGAATGATCAGTCGGCCGAGATATACCAGGAGCACCGAAAAACGTTGACCCAAAATAGCCAGGGCTGGGTTGCGGCTGTTGCGTGACAGAGGAAACAGGGGTCGAGAACATGCTGCCGGAAAATTTTGGAATGGCAGAAGGCTGCCATGGAAACACCGGAGGGATGGTTTGAAAGAGAGAGTACGTACCATCAGCACCAAAGGGAGACACAGCAGTTTGCACAGGGATTCCCGGTTGAGAATTGATCACCGGCTGCGGCTCGGTCAACGTGACAGGCTCGCGAGTGAGGACAATAGCTGCATCGGTGAAAGAGGCAGATACCGGCACCGTAGTGAAGGTAGAAGTAGTTGTGAAACCATCCATGTAAGAAGAATGGGTTTCGATGGAAGAAGACATGCTTTCGGCTGAAGAGGAGGCTGCGGCCGAACTCATGATTAGGAAGAAACGACGAGGGTTTAAGGGAGGGAAAAAAATTAGGCTTCTGATACCATGTGAAATAATGGGAAAGGTTACCCAATAGGGTACCTGGCAGATATATTTATAATAATAAAAGTTTCCAAAGATACAAAGTATTCCTAATTTAATATTAGGCTATTATCACTATCTGCTCTTGGCAGTGGAACTAGCGGGCGAGCCAATGGCGGCGCCCATGTTCTCCGGTATTTGCAAAAATTATGAAAAATGCTAAAATGTCAAATAATAACATTGTCAATATCAATGAAATAAAAATAACATTGTAACAAAGATGTTAATGGCGCGACAATGTCAATTCAATAAAAAACAATATTGTTAAAACAATGTCATGGTATTATATAATTGTATTCAAGATAAACATCACAATGTCATGTAGAATTCACAATGTCTAACATTACCATTAAAAGCATTCTCAAAAATCATTAATGTTACACTATTGTTGAAAATAATGCCATAAATGTATTGGATCACATGCATTGTCAATAGGTAATGACCAAAATCGCATTTTTTGAAAGCAACAACAAACAAATTGACACATACTTACACCATCTTAATTTAATTTTAAAAATTAGTTCTCTACCCAAAAGTCAAAAGAACAAAATGAGAAAGGAACTCGGAAAGAAAAGAATAGAAGAAAGCAAAATGAAAATGGTCATAGATTAGATCTATGTTATAGGACCCGAAGCCGACCGAGCGTGTCAACCCGGAAACCAGCAACCCGACTATCATCCCGGTCCGATCACTTATTAACCTGCAATTTGAACAAAACCAGATTTAACCGGCAGCCCGTTGTCACCCGGATCCGGCCTAGAACAGATAAAACTCCGCGAATCCGGTCCTAAATGTAATTAGTCTAAATACAAAGTAAAAATTGCACTCCCTAGTAGGGGTGGGCAAACGGGTCTTGGAACCGCGGTCCGGTCCGGGTAATGGCGGTTCGGGTCCAAAACGGGCCGGTTCCATTTTTTGTTGCCATAAAACGGTCCGGGTAGGGTCGGGTAATTTTTTTTAAGGAACCGGACCAGTTCCAAAATTAAAAAATAACGGGTACCCGGCCCGGCCCGTTATATCTATTGTATATTAATTTATTAGTAGTTTTGTGATAATCGGTTTTGAAATAGTTTTGTTTCCTTTGCTAGAAGTAGGATTTTAAATTGAGTTGCAGTAACATCCTTTTGTTTTCAAATTATTGATTAAATGTTTCATAAATATCTTATTACTTTTTATTGTTATTGAATTATTCCTTTATGTGGAATTTAATTATTTATTAAAGATGATTTTGTTATATATTTTTTATTATATTGTTATTAAAATATATAAATTGTGTTTACCACCCACCATGTATGTGTCAACTTTGGCTAGTACTGAAAATTTAATAATAAAAAAAGCAATCACTTTAATATGTGATGTTAGACAACATGTTTAAATACAAATGTTAGAAAATATGTATTTTGGCTATGTTGCATATTTTTGAAATATCTTTAATTGTTTGAAACTTATATACAATAAATTATGGAGTATTGGACTTTTCGCTTGTGTTGTATGTGCACCACTATGTTGTTATTTTGAAACTTGCTAATGTTTTATATTATTGATTATTGATTTTTGGAACTTCGTGAGTTTTTTGCTAATTTCAAGACATGAGAATAGAAACCGTAAAACCCGGACCGGACCGACCCGTTTCAAACGGGCCGGGTAATTTCCGGTTCCTATTTTGAAAATTGTAATACTCGGACCGGACCGAACCGTACAATGGAACCGGCGGTTCCATTTTATTTTGCATTACCCGCCCCGACCCGGCCCGTGCCCAGCCCTACTCCCTAGTACTTCGAACATTGCAAATGTATACCCCTTTAACATCATTAGTATGCTCTCATACTATACCTACAAGGCTACAACATTTCAAAATTCAAATACAAGTACAAATCTATTATACTCCCTCCGTCCCTTAAAACTTTGCCAACTTTCCTTCTTGGATGTCTCACTAACTTTGGCACTTTCCATTTTAAGTAAATAATTTGTGGTTTCTGTTAATTCTCTCTCCTTTGAACAAAAATCTCAACCACACAGTTTTTACGTTATTAATCCCCGTGCCGATCAAACTTGGCAAAGTTTTAAGGGACGGAGGTAGTAGTAATTATAATTATGTGATAGTTTGGATATTTATTCAAGAAAGATAGTTGACCATGTCAAATTATTTTGTAAACTTAAAAATTTATCAAATAAACTATAGATCAAATATGATTAAACCTATATTTTAGAATAATATCTTTGTGTTCTAAATGTTTATTGAGTATTCAATCTATTTTATTATTGAATAGTGATAATATTTACCTTTTATTATAATTTTATATAGGGTAAAATAAATAATATACCCCGAACTTTGCCTTAGTGTGAGCTCTCCACCCCGAACTTGTCCTAGTTTAAAAAATACCCCCAACTTTATTTATTTAAATTTTTTGTATCATATTTTAGTTGACAAATAATATTTCTCAAATTATAATATGTTAATTAGATTTAGTTGGCAAAAAAAGATTAATTAACATATTTTTTGTACTTAAATTAGAGATTTTGAAGTTATTTAATCAATTCGAAAAGCACACATTAATTTGGGAATCACACATCTTTTTTTGCCAACTAAATCTAATAAAAAATATTACAATTTGAGAAATATTATTTGTTTATGAAAATATGGTACAAAAATATTAAATAAATAAAGTTGAGAGTATTTTTTAAACTATGACAAGTTCGGGGTGGGGAGCTCACACCAAGGCAAAGTTCGGGGTATATTATTTATTTTCCCCTTTTATATATTATCATATATATCTTAGGTATGGAGTACTATATAAATTTGTAAGCGTTGACCGGGTCTTCCCGGAATTGACCAGGTTGACCCGCCGGGTCCGGATTGGCCTGTGACCTAGACGTCCGATCGGGGCGCTCACCGGTCCGGTTCTTGTAACATAGGAATAGATCTGTTAACTTCACGGTCGAAATACAAAACAGAGCCGAATTGCAACGCGAAGGAAGACACAACAGAAAAGTAGGAAGAATAAGGATGGCAAGAGGAGACTTACCAGGGATTTAATTTCCGCCTCTATGGGTATGTTTGGCACAACTTGCTGAAAAGATACTTATGTGAGCTTTTTAGTAACTGTTAGCTTTTAGTGACTGAAAAGATCTTAAAAAGAAAAGGTGATAGCTGTTTGATAAAAAGTTGACTGTTTGATTTAGTTCGGTTTGGTATACAAGCTATTAGGACTAATTAATACTAAAAGTCACGAGCTTTTCTCAGATGCTACACCCGGTAGCATCTCAAAAAAGATCTTTTAATTTTTGAAAAGCTCTTAAAAAATGTCATGCCAAACATACAACTAGAGTCTTTTAAGGTCTTTTTAAGGAAAAGAGAAGCTAGAAGGCAGAGGCTTTTGTGTGCCAAACATGGCCTATGTTGCCGCCGCATCGCCGTGCAGCCCCCGCCGCCGCCTCACCAACTCACCGTGCCACTGCTGCCCCGTCGCCGTGCTGTTGTCTCTTCTCCGTTGTTCCTCATCTCTGGCTCGCCACCACACCCTCTTCTCCCTTACCAAAGGAAAGTGTGGCTCGTAGAAGATTGTCAATAGTCAGAATGGAAGCAAGAAAAGGTGAGCCACGAGCATAGAAAATGAGAGGAAAGTTATCAATATAGGGCGCGAAAGACATACGAATTATCAATCGAAGACCTGAAAAATGAAATGTATCGATATATAACTCAAATAATGAAAAACTATTAATTTAAGACTTGAATGATTGAGAACTAATTTAATAATCTTGGATCGAAGTTGTCATAAATATTATTACTTTTTTTATTTTAAAAATGTTAAATATTACTCCGTATTAATTTAGTTTTTTTAAACTAATACACTTTTGTGAAAGAAAATTTTATCAAGAATTGATTAGCAATGGAATTAATAAAAATTAACCAAATCAAAACCTATGAGATATTAAGTCCTAGATTGATAGTTTTCTATCATTCAGGTTCTATATAGATACTTTTCATCATTTGGATCCAGGATTGATAATTAATTTATCTTTCAAGTTCGGAAATGATAGAATTCCAAAAAGAGAAATTAGGGGTAAATTTAGAACACATGAAAAAATAAGTCTCATTTAGGAGTTAAAATCTTTTAAGTGCTTATTATGGTATATATATATACCACGTATATATCGATACTTTTAGTATGTCCTATTCATAATCATTTCTCTTTGGAAAAATTTCTATTTGTACACGATATTTGTACACTTATTATACATTTGTATATAATTGTATGTGCATATAGATGAAGGTCGTGCAATTGTGTGCCAAAGTGTGTACGTACATACGTCAAGAATTGTTGTAAAAGCTTAGGCCTCATTTTCTAAACTTGACTTGACGACCTTAGAGTGCGCGTAAGCCGTAAGTACACTATATAAGTAGTGATTGAGAATTATAGCCACTTCGCCAAAATACTCTTCTTCGTTCTTAACACCATGACTGCACCACAGTCTTTGGTCTTCACGGTGAGAAGGCGGACGCCGGAGCTTGTTTCTCCGGCGGAGCCAACGCCTAAGGTCGTCAAATTCCTATCGGACATTGACGACCAGGATGACTTGAGGTTTCAGATTCCAATCATACAATTCTACCGCCACCATCCGTCCATGCACGGGAGTGACCCCGTGATGGTGATCCGGGATGCACTGGCCAAAGCTCTGGTGTTTTACTACCCCTTCGCCGGGAGGCTCCGGGAGGGTGTTGGCCGGAAACTTATGGTGGATTGCACCGGGGAGGGGATCGTGTTTATCGAGGGCGATGCTGACGTCACGTTGTCGGACTTCGGAGATGCCCTACAACCTCCATTTCCATGCGTGGAGGAGCTTCTTTATGATGTTCCTGGCTCCGGTGATGTTCTCAACTCTCCTTTGCTTCTCATTCAGGTACAAATTAAATATATGGAGGAGCTTAATTCTACTGTTACGACTTTATACTTGTATTCCACATTACGTACCATTTTTTCCCGTATAAGATAAAAAAATTGTTTTGAAATAAAAAACATAAATACAAAACAAAAGAAAATTAAATTATAATATGTACCAAAATTCAGACATGGGTTTGAGCTAAAGTAGGGAGTGTTTGCAATTGCTTCAACTTTAAAAAAGTGATCTTTTAAAGTGATTTTGGGAAAAGTGATTAATAGTAAAAGTTGGTAGTGTTTGAGAAAAAAGTGATTCTGGAAAAGTAAAAGTTGGTAGCTAGTGTTTGGTAAAATAAGTACTTTTTGTGTAATAGAAAAAGTGAGAAGCAGTTTAAAGCACCCTTCTACCTGCTTCCCGCTTTTAGCTTTTATGTGATTAATTTAAGCAGAAGCTGTCATTTGAAAACAATCTTTTCAACTTTTTTAAGCCAAAAGCTGAAAAGTGCTTTTTTTAAGCAAACCCAAACACTCCCGTAATACGGAGTAGTAACCAGAAGACTTTTGTATATATTCAGTAAAAAAGAAAGACTTTTTTATTATATTGTAATATACGGAGTCATTTATAACTCCATAGTTAACTTTTAGTCTTTAATTAAACTTTTGTAATTAAAGAAGACATTTAGACTTTTAGACTTCAAAGTTTGGAAAGTGCTTTAGCCTTTAGACTTATTTAATAAAGCTTCTTGTCACCCTAATTTAAATTTGAGAATCCATATAGAGCCTTTTTGATAATACTCAAATCCAATGCAATCGGTTTAATAAGATGAAATTGATTAAATTCTGACTATCGCGATTGAATTAGCTGAATTTACTGAATTATGAATACGGATATTTAAAATATTGAGTATTTTCAGTAATAAAATAAAGAAAAAATTATATGAAAATATATCTAAAATTACCTTCTACAGTAACTTCAGGAAAATAAGCCAGAAAAAATATTTCTGACCTTAACTATTTTGATTATTATGAAATCCAATGCACGAAGTAAAAAAATACGTGTTTGATGAAAAAGTTGACTGATATGACTGATAAGTCATATATATAGGTTACCAAACACGCTCATAGTCTTGTCTAAGTGATTTTAAAATGTGAAGTGTAAATTTACCAAATTTTCTTGATGCACATATTTAAAATTAAGTTTAGATGTTTTCTTGACTGATTCAGAGATCTGATATGGACTAGTTTAGTATGGCATGAGACTTAAGTAAATTTAAGTGAAAACATCCTTACTTTCATTTGTGCGTGTCCTATTAATATTTCCTTTTAGGATTTATGACATACTTCATCCATTCTTAAATAATTGTAATATATCATGTTGAGTTTTACATATGTTCTACTTTGACTACATTTGTTCACTAATGCATTATTCAATTAGTTTTTACAAAACATCATTAAATTTGTCTTGTCATAAATTTTCAAAAATTGAATTTAAATATTTTACTAATAGAGATTTAAATATATTAACGGTCAAAATTGTAATTGGCAAACCTGAAAAGAGAAGTGTTGCAATTAAAAGAGATTGGATGAAGTATATATGTATATAATGATGATGAAAAAATAAATAAGCTCAAAAACAAATACAAAAATATTTTATGAGATATAAATATATTTCGAAAATAAAAAATAAAAAATAAAATACATGTTGAAAATATTTGATAGATATGGTAATATAAAAATTACTCCAACTACTCTATGTATAAGAATTAAAATATAAAAATAGTAACTACATATTTATATTATTTTATATATATGATATATATTAAATATTTTTTACGTATTATATATACAAAGTACGACGTAAGCTAATATATGTAATCATATGTGTGTGGACCCAAGCGTGCGCGCACACACATATATTGTATGTGCACATAACTATTACATTTTTACAAAATAAATAAATAAATATATGATTTGGAAATAAAGTTCAAGAATTTTTTTGGTTTGCACTTTATTTCTTTATTTTGCAGTTACCGAAAAATATAAATATTTCATATTTACAATTTATATTTTCGACTTTTATTTCTCATTATATTTTTATTTTCTATTTTTATTATTTATTTCTTTTTTTATTTGTAATTTTGATGTTTTAAGGGTGTGTGGGTGAATTGAACGATTCATTCGGGTTCGTGAGCTTATTTGACCCCTTGTGTTGTCATGTCACATGCACAATTTGCATTCTACCTAGTGACATGGCAAAAAGTAAATTTTGAATTTTTTATCGAGTTCAGGGTGTCAATTGGAGTTTTTTTTTCAGCGAGCAAATTGAGCAATGCGAAAAGATACATGAGCCTATTTGATCCTTTAGCCAATTCTATTTTAAGATATTTTTTGTTATTCTCAATAAGTAAAGGAACATATTTTGTCACAAAAAATTTACTCCATATATTTTGAATAACACGAACATTATTTTTTACTACGTACCATCACTACAAAAAACACGCGTTTAATCACGGACCGTAGTCACGGATTTGGTCCGTGACTAGTTTTGTCACGGACTAGTCACGGATATTTAAAAAAAAAATTAGTCACGGATCTGGCCGTGACTATGACCGTGACTAAATTTAGTCACGGTCCGATCCGTGACTAAAATGGTCCGATAGCTCCGATTCCGTCTCCGACGAAGTTTATTTTATTCCGGTGACTTAGTCACGGACACAGCCGTGACTAAATCCGTGACTATTAAAAAAATTTAATTTTCCAATTCCCAGGAATTACTTCACAACGGTATTCTGTACCGATAAAAGTAGTCACAGACATATCCGTGACTAATTCCAGGTGCTGAAATTCCATGTATTTTGAGCCTTCTGCTGTGTTGAGATAGACTTATGTGCATTTTCTTTACTCCAGGGGAGGTTGGGGGAGGGGTCTAGGAGGAGCCTGGAGTAATCAGGGCTGAAACTCACTCCATTGAGTTTCAAACTCTTATGTGCATAGCAGGTTTCGAACTCGAGACCTTTCACTAGGCACGGTAACCTCACAACCAGCTGGGCTGGAATGCTTGGTTACTACGTACCAATTTATATATGTAGAGTCGTCAATTTTCTTGACGACTCCAAAATTACTTCTATTTTGAAAATAAAAAGAATTTGGAGCAACAATTTTACTCCTATTTACTTCTCTTTTTATACTTACGCCTATCTGTTGTTGTTTACGTAGGTCACCCGCCTGAGATGTGGTGGCTACATCTTTGCCTTGCGACTAAACCACACCATTAGCGACGCATTTGGTCTTGTCCAGTTCATGACCGCCATCGCTGAAATAGCACGCGGTTCCCGTTCACCGTCCGTGCTCCCCGTTTGGAAAAGGGAATTGTTGGATGCCCGGAAACCTCCACGTCCCGCGACGGCGTACACCCACCACGAGTACGACCAAGTCCCGGATTCCAAGGGGACCATCATGCCCTTAGACGACATGGTCCACCGCTCTTTCTTTTTTGGACCAACGGAGGTCGCCGCCCTTCGCCGTCTCCTCCCCAACGACTTGCGGCGGTGCTCCACCTTCGATATCGTAACGGCGTGTCTCTGGCGCTGCCGCACCGCTGCCCTGAAACCTGACCCGGAAGAAGAGGTTCGGGTGCTCTGTATTGTGAACGCCCGCTCGAGATTCCACCATCCTCCTTTACCGGAAGGTTACTACGGCAACGCATTTGCGTTCCCAGTGGCGGTAACCACCGCGGAGGAGCTAGTGAAGAAACCATTGGAATACGCGGTGGAGCTGGTGAAGAAGACCAAATCTGAAGTGACCGAGGAGTACATGAGGTCAGTGGCGGAGATGATGGTGGCCAAGGGGCGGCCGCATTTCACGGTGGTAAGGACTTATCTTGTTTCCGACCTGACACGGGCTGGGTTCGATGAGGTGGACTTCGGGTGGGGAAAGCCGGCTTACGGCGGAGCTGCCAAAGGAGGTGTTGGTGCCATCCCCGGGGTATCAAGCTTCTATATACCATTCAACAATGGAATCGTGGTTCCGGTGAGCTTACATGCCTTTGCAATGGAAACATTCGTGAAGGAGGTGGATGGTATGATAGCTGAAGGACACAACAAAGAAATTCATGCTCATATAAGATCTTCTCTATGATTTACTACCTTCCTCTTAAAAAGACTTGCTATATTGACTTTTCTTGGCCAATGATAGCACAATTTGGACAATTTGATTTATTAGGGAGTATATTTTTATATAATTGGATTTTTTTATATATTTATGGTAATACTTTTAATAAGGAACACTTTAATATATATAATTTCATATTCAAAATAATTCCGTACTAGTTGTATTAAAAAGTATCATTGATCAAAATTGAGTATAATTAATCAAAAAATATCAATGATTAAGTATTCAAGAGGGGTGAGTTAAAGTAGTAACGGTGACCAACGACTATCTTAGTGTTTTATTTGCTTTGTGAATGATTATATAGCTTTAGGATCAAATGAGAACAATGTTTAACGTGAGAACATCACATTTACCCCAATATGATGCACAATGAGGCTTGCCTAATGCACATTTTCGTGTTCGGCATAGTATTTACCAAAATGCCACCGTCATTATTTATATTGGCTTATTTTGAGCAAAGTCAGAATGTGCACCAGTCGGGCTCTATTGTGTATCACATTGGGTTAATTGTGAGTGTTCTCACGTTCTCACGTTAAGCATTGTTCTCATTGGAACCGCACCTCATAACTTTATTCTACCCCACCCTTTGTTTACTTTGATTTGATACCAAAAGTGAAAAAGTTGTCATATGAGGCGCTTTTTTTTACCATTCGTGCGGCGCTTTTAAGCGCCGCATAACGCAGTGCTGCAAAGTCAAAATTTGCTGCGCTTTTATCCAATAAAACCACACAATTTGCGACATTGTGTTAAAAAGTGTCGCAAATGTGAAAAAAGCGTTGCAAATTTAGTATTTTAAAAGCGCCGCATAGTAGTTTTACATTAACTAGTTACTCCACCCGTGCGTTGCACGGGAATGAAATACATACATAATACGAAGTAGTTTAGATCCAATTTTATAAAAAATAAAAAGAAATGATCCAACTAACTGAAAGCATTAAATAAAATTTTAAAGAAGTTATCCTTGTAATAGCAATCTAAGAAATAGTACACATCAAAATTAACATCATGAAATGAAGTACCTGTCGACGTTAGTCCATAAAACTGTCAAGAAAATTACGTATAAATTGTTATAATATTCATTGTATCCAACACAAGGCAAGCATAGGTGGTCATCAAGTCAATACATTTTCATCACATATCAAAGACTTCAGCCCCAAGTTAAGTTGTTACTCTCAAAACCTCCACGTACACATGTTCGCTACTGTGTTCTTTCTCCCTAACTTTGTCCCAATTTACCTTTTGTCTATCCCATTAAGTTTCTCCCCTATCATTTTTTGTAATATTTTGATGGTAATCTCAATCACGTTCCTAATAAACCGCATCACACCCTTGTGTCCCAATCATAGGGGGACGAAGGTAGCAATAGAAACTATATGCATTGAAAAGTGAATGAGAGTATAATGTCTCATGGTGTTATAGTGAGCAAGGATAAAGTTGTTTTCATAGGGGGACGAAGGTAGCAATAGAAACTATAGGATAAGTTTCTTATAGGATAGAATCAAGTCATTTAGTAATGTAAAATTTTCACTCTCATAAATTAAACCAATCTCATATTCTCAAGAAATGTTACATAAGTTTCTTATAATTTAAAGTCATTTAAATTATGATTTTGATGAATGGAAATGATTTTTATTAGATTTCTAACTTTTATACGAAATATATAGTTACATTATCAGATATATAAAATTATACATATTCTTCAAATCATTTTAAACGAACATTGATTTTAATCATAAAAAATATTTTGACATTACCGGTCGAACCACCGGTAAAAGAAAGTAGAGCTCAAAGTCAAAACCAAGATATAGAGACTAATGAAAACCAAAAAGAATAAATATTTAACAAAATTATACTGTGTGTCCAATTAGATTTTGTCTTTTGTCACATTTCCATTAGAGTAACTAATTTATGATTTTGTTAGTTTCTCTCTCTTATGTAAAAACTTCAATCACTCAACTTTTCCTTTTGTTTTTCTCACCTAATTCAAAGTTCTCAAAGTTTAATGGCATTGGAGTTATATAAAAAACATACCTATCGATTTTGTACAACACTTATCACAAAATCTTTGTAAATTTTGTGAAACTTGAAAAGCATAAATATTAGACCGTTGTCACTTGTCATTGATCTAATTTTAAGATTTTATCAAGATTTATTATAGTTGTATGATCTTTTTTAGTTGCTTTTATTTGGCAAATTTACTGGATCTTTTTTAATAAGATTTTTGAAAGTAAATGACAATCTTATATTAATTCAACTTGGTCGTTAGCCAAAAGGCTTACCATAAAATCCTGTTGAGAATAAAAATTAGCATCATGCTCATCAACTAAAATTGCCGCCCAAGCTAATTCATGGGCAGCTCGATTTGCTGGTGTTCTACAAAAAGTCACTTCCATGTGCTCATTCCCACTAATCATACCTCTCAAGTCATTAAGAATTACGTCTCTATATGACATTACAGGTTCCCCTTTGATTTCGGGCATAACTAAAGCCACATCTGTTTCCACTACCACCTTCGCCCACCCGTTGTTTAAAGCCCAAATAACTCCCTCCCTCACTCCTCTAGCCTCCGTTGCAAGCGAGGACGTACCACTCCACATGTACAGACTTTTGTCTAGCTTTAATAAAACGTCAGTCATCATCTCGAGCTAACCACCACACACCCTTCGACTATTGCCTTTACCGAGTGCAGCGTCGACATTGATTCTTATCCACCCTGCCGTCGGTTTCTTCCACCTATCCACACCCTGAGATGGCACTTGGACAACAACATTTCTTCCCTTATTTTGTGCAGAACGCCAGCCCAAGAGGAAAGCTTCTGCCATGTATTTCACTGCCCTAGCAGATCCACAACTCACATTCCATATAGTGTCATTCCCATAAACTCCATAACAACATGATAAATTTACTTCCTCTTTCTTTGGTAGTAAACTAAAAACCTTCTCATTTCTCAACCCATAGTAGCATATCTGGCCTGGCCACGTACCTGGAGAGCTCAACCCAAAATTTGCCGAGACTTCTTGAGCTAACGGATAGTGGTCCACTTTTAAAACTGCCTTTTGCTTCGCTTTTAATTAGCTTTCCTTCAGATTGAGGTTGTATAGCTTTCTATATATGCATACAAATTTTGATAAGAGTTTGATTAGTGTCTCATAGAGCTAACGGATGGAATAGAAATGTAGAATATTAAAGTCTAAAAATCCTACAAAAATCATGCTTAAACAATAAAATACAACAGGAATACCCAAACTGGTTTCCTATTTTTCAGAGATCTATCAGTTGTCTAAAGCAAATAAAACGAATGAATCAAAGATAATTATCACTGATGTTCAATAAAAAAATACGCTCAGGAAAATTCCAAAGCAAATCTATGAGAAAAAACAGAGTAAATGATTAACTTGGACCATGTGGTGCTTTGTTTTGCGTCTTACCCATCTTAAGAATATCAGACATGATATTGACCCTAGAACACTTAACCAAGCAGACGGGTGTCCAAAGGAAAGATGTGGAATTGCTAGAACATCATCATCTGCCATATCAACCGACTTCTTCGTCTCCGTGCCAATAACATCATTGTAACCCATACATAGAAGCATTAAAAAGATTAAAAACAAAAAAAAGATACAAAAGATTACACCATTAGTACTATAATAGGATGTTCAATATGCACGCATAAAGTTGACAACATAATACTGAATAGGACCATATTAATTTATACTCCGTATTAAATAAATAACACTGTAAAAGATTATGACCATGAAATTCATCAGATCACTATAAAACCAAACTGTTTTTTGTTCATTTTAAGATAAGTTTCGTTCAACTAAAAAAGAGATTAATAAAGAGTCATCAAGTTACTGGTCTGGGATCAGTTAAATAAAGTTAAGTTTCATCTTATTGGGGAAGCTAATAGACTTATAACTCATCAATTAGCAAAGAATGACACACACACACACACACACACACACAAACACTCATATGCATGACGATTCAAAGAGTGTAAGACTAAAACAACAATAATCATTGTCTATATTTGAAAGAAAACATTGCAACAATTCTCCTCTGGGAGTGAGGTTAAAAAGTTTGGGTAAGCTAATGTCGAGTGCAAGGACTGGAGAACCTAGAATAGTTTTTCACCTCAAAAGGAAAGCACAAGTGTAAAAGTTAATAAAATATATAAACGATCACCATAACTTGTCTGAGCAGCCTCCATAATCGCCTCTTTTTTACTCATTTTATTTCTGATCTTCACCCTTCTTTTTCCTTGTACTTGGTTGTAAATAATCACTCATGATAAAAGACTCGTGATTAGATAAGCGATATATACAAAAAGACATTAAAATAGATTAGTAAGAATATATAGTTCTTTCACATTTATGAACAGCTAGTGGCCTGGGCATTCCATCCTTCATGTTCCCCTTGCAAATCCTATAACCAAGCTAGACAATATATGAAGTTAAAAATAGCAAAACTCTTCTCAATGGAAAACCATTTAAAAACAAATTTATATTGAGAACATTTAAGATCCTGTTTTTGAATCGATCGGATTTTTAATTGAAGCCCAGAATGATAGCCATCTTGATGGGGCAGCTGTTTTGTTTTGAGCTGGTGAGAAAGTTAATTTATAGCAATATAGAATTTTGATTTTACAAATAATTAGTTTCAAAACTTTTATAGCAAGAGGTTTAGACAATATATTAAGAGAGTTTCCACTTACCGAACTTCTATATTCAAATTTTATCCATGAAACATCCCTTTTTCCAATACGAAGAGTAAATACAAAATAGAAGAACCCTGCTACAAACAGGTGCTAAATTTTTAAAGAAAATACTATAGAGTGAAAAAAATAAAAAGAGAATTAATTAGGAATAAATTCACTTACAACTTAATTGAGTGCTGATGAATGGACCATTCTCCATTATGGACATAAAAGCCCAAATTAAACAAAAAAAAATTAGAAAACTGTTCTCTAATTTTTTGAACTATACAGTTTATGATAAATCGATTCATATTCATACAAATATAATTTTTTGGCAAACCATAACTATTGAATTTGAATCCTATTTTTATAAATATAACCGAATTGAATATCTATACAAAAAAAACTTGAATCAATTCAAATGTAATGAGTGAA